GGAGATAATTGAGGTAAGATCCCAAGGAGACATGGAGAAAGTCAGACATACAGAATGAAAGAAAGGTAAAAAGCCACATGGTAAAACGTGGATTAATAAAAGCAGGTTAATTTAAGTTATAAGAGCTAGTTAAAAGACAAGCCTAAGGTAAAGGCCAAGATTTTATATTTGATAAACTTCTGTGTCCTTATTTGTGAGCTGCCTGGTGGGACAGAGAAAGACTTGCTACATATGCTTATATCTTAAAATGTTCGTTTATAATGTGTTGCATATTTCTAGAAAAAATTCTATATTAATATTGAGCACGGTCTAGAAACATTCTGCATGTGAATAAGCCCAAAATGATTGTATAGCAGAGGCTGAGAAAAACATTTAAACTCATTAACTTTATTTTAAACTCCAGTCTAAAAAAAAATGTCTCTTGGAAATTTCCAGGTGTATTTTGACCAATTCACATAATTAGTGGTGGTTTTACTACTTTTTGGTTCTGTTTTTCTTTTTCCGCTCAGTCTCCCAGTCACAGTTGCAAACTCTAGCCTTTCCCCAGTGCTGATGAACTATTTAAAAATGACTCCTGGATTCTCATAGAATACCTCTCCTTTTTAAAAGCAAAATACTTAAATTGTTTATTTAAAATGTCTATCGGAACCCTTTTAAATAGCAGGTAATATAATGAAACATGTACAACGCTCCATTTCCAAAAGAAAGCCATATTTATGTTGACAACATAACAATCTCATTTATGACAATAATGCTACATATGATACTAAACTTGGAGAAATGAAGTGTCCTTTTATTTTGGAAGTTTCCATCAAAAGGCCCCTTTCAAAGGCAGTTGGGAATTTGGCCTTGCAACGTCATTCGAGCACGATAGTTAGTGTGATAGCTTAGGCACACGTTTTCTATTGATGAGAAAGCTGAACAAAATGCAAACTTAACTCCCTAAAGTGAATCGGAGGCCTTTTAACTGGAAAATTTTAGTCCGTGATTTGAATTTCTAGGAGAACAATTTAAAGAGGCCACAAGGGGGCAGCAAAACACACAGGATTCCCTTTATGCATGCCCCATGAAATTTCTTAGGTAACACCAGGCTAAGAAGGAGGCAAATGAAAGAACAAAAGCGTTTGGGCCTTGAGCCATCCTTAAACGTGGGCATTTCTAGCCAAACATAGTGGGTCTGGGTGGTGTGTATGTGTGTGAGCACGCGCAGGGGGGTGGGGTGGGGAGGGGAGGCTGCCTGCCCTAATTAATTGAGTTTAGGTGACGCCAGCATTTCAAACGTCTTAAGAATAGACACTGGAAAGATGGCCAGTGTTTAACAGCAGTTACTAGTCTTTCAGAGTCTATTCCTAGCATTCGCATGGTGGTTCGGTGATTCGCAACCATCTAGAACTGCAGTCTAGGAGGATCTGATACCCTCTTCTGACCTGGCACCAGGCACTCATGCCTTGGTGTCCATATGTACATGTCAAAACCCACTCGTGCATGTAAAATAAAAATAAATAAAATTTTAAAACAAGGACCACTGGTGATTTATATCCAAGGTGGGCTCAAACCTGATATTTCTCATTCTGTTGTATAGTGGATCAAATTTCTAAGCCCCTCTTTCTCTTCCTCTGCTTAGAATTTCAGTATATTTCTCTGGAAAATAATAACAGGGTCAAGTCCATTAGACTTAACTTGCAAAAAACAGGAAACAGACTAAGCAAGACTCTGCAGTTACTCACGAATCACAGTTATCGGGTTTGCTTTAACAGGAAGTATTACAAAATTGCTGATAGAGTCCAGGGGACTGTGCAACTTGGATTTTTGTCAGACTTTGTGCTGTGAGGTTGCACTGCCTTGGGTGGATCCTCTAACCTCTTAGGTGTCTTAGCTTGCTCACAGGGAAGGAAGGAAGGATACAATAGGTTGTTGTGAAGATTAACTCAAGTAATTAGCCTTTAAGGTAAGACTGCATCCAACACGGCAGCCATGATTCTATTATAGTGATTGACATTTGATAGTCTCAGTCACTATTTCTCTGCAACTAGTTATGTTATTTCATTTAATTCTCATAACTGGCATCAGAGATTTTTTTTTTAAATTTCTGTCCTCTTTTTATAGATACAAACATCGAAGTTCAAAAAGGCTGGTGACTTTGGTTAATATAAATTAAATGAAAGAGCTTGGGTTTGAACCTGTAGCTTTCTGCCTGCTAGCTAGGTTACTTTCAACCACATTTGGGTATATAGCCTACTAGGAGCCTCCCCACTCCCAGTGTACACACTTCTGACAACTGGGAAAGTCATTTGAATCTGCTGATGAGTCTTAAAAATGACTCTGGACAGCAGTGGGTGCAATCAAATTGCTTTTCCCGAACTCCCACCACTTTCAATAGAGGATGTTCAGAGGGAAGAATTGTGAGGAAACAGGAGCTATTCAGGCATTCCAACCCTAAACCAGCCTCCGCTAGGAAACCAGTCTGAGGCACGTTGTTTATATAAGGATAGGCTCTTCACCCAGATGTCTCCTCGATCTTGCTCTACCCAACCCGGCACCATCCTTGTCTACAGGAACGAGAGACTGTTGAATGACTTGACTCATCTGCAGTGAAAACATTCAGTGGATTTCTGGAACCAAAATGTGCTCCTGAGGTCTTTGTGTCTACACTGTAGATGCAGAGTTTGCTTCACTCAGTCTCTCTCAGTGTAGGCTGATGCAAGCCCCACTTTTTTTTTTTTTTTTTTTTTTTTTTTTTGAGATAGGGTTTCACTATGTAGTACTTGGCTTTCCTGGAACTGGGTTTGTAGACCAGGCTGGCCTTGAACTCAGGGATCCACCTGTCTCTCCCTCCTAAGTGCTAGGATTAAAGGCATGCACCACCCAGTCCACTTAGAGGGCAAAGCTGGCTCAACTGAGCTGCTAGGAGCTGCCTATCTCTGCCTCCGGTCCTGAGACCACAGACATGTGTGGCAGTGCCTGGCTTTTAGATGTGGGTGCTGGGGATTCAAACTCAGGTCCTCATGCTTGCACAACAAATGCGTTTACTCACTGAGTCATTTTTTTCCTTTATTTCCCAAGACAGGGCATCTCTGTATAGCTACCTGCTGCCCTGGAACATACTCTGTAGACCAGCCTGGCTTCAAACTCAGATGTTTGCCTGCCTCTGCCTCCTGAGTGCTGGGATTAAAGGTGTATGCCACTATGCCTGGCTAACCCATCATCTTTTAATAATTAGAAAGTAGGAAGGCATGACAATATATGTCTACAATGCCAGCACTAAAGAGGCTGAGGCAGGAGGGTTATAACTTCAAGTCAGCTTGAACTACATAATACATCAAGGTCAGTTTAAACTGCACAATGAAGCCTCATGACAAATAAAAAGAAAACAGAAATAAAACCTTGAAAGTCTATGATACTATGAATGTGTTAATTGATTGTTATTGGATATAAGGTATTTTATATATAACCTTTTGCTTCATATATGGATATATTTGCAACAAGTATAATCAAAGGCAGGGAAAGGTGACTTGGAAGATTTGCGGGAGGGATACGGAAGGGATTGCAGGAAGGAAAGGGAGGGGAAATGTAATTATATTCAAATTGAAATAAATAAATAACATTAAAAGTTATCCTTAGGGGCTGGAGAGATGGCTCAGAGGTTAAGAACACAGGCTGTTCTTCCAGAGGACCTGAGTTCAATTCCCAACAACCACATGATGGCTCACAACCATCCATGATGAGATCTGGTGCCCTCTTCTGGCCGCAGACACACATGCAGGCAGAACACTATATACATAATAAATAAATAAATCTTTAAAAAATGTTATCCTTCAACTCATTGTTTTGAAACTGTAGACAATTCTATTAGCGTTTCAAAAAGAAAGGCCAGGGTAGCCAAGCTCTAAGTCTCGGCAGCTACCCAGAGAAGGAAGAAGGAGAAGATGAAGAGAGGGAGCCATGTTTGAGCCAGGCATGGAGGTGAAAGCCCCACTAGGACAAGCCATCACATGACTGGGAAGAGAGCATTACAGAGAGATAAGGTGGAAACGTCCAAAGAACCAGAGACAGCATACACAGGCTCTGCTCAGTGTCTAAAAGACAAAGACATGAGGAGAAAAAAAGACGCAACGAACCTCAAGGTGAATCTTAAATAAACAATTTAAGTATTTTGGGGGCAGGACTGTTTTTATTGCAAAGCAAATGCTTGTTTAGGAGACACATGTTGGGCATCCATGTGGATGCTGCAGAACATTCAGAAAGCTTTTGTTTTAAAATATGTCCACATACCAAAAGGTTTTCCCCACATGTAATGTATAAACTCACGCTTCCTGAAAGTAATCATTAGTATTCAAACGTCTAAACATGGGTTTTAAAAGCAAAAATGATGAAGCAGTATGATCTAGCCATTCTGAATGTCCAGGTTTCTTCTTAGTTTCAGATGTTAACTTGACACAGCCTAGGGTCACCTGGGCAGGGGAGCCTCTTCTGAAGAACTGCCTGGATTAGATTAGCCTGTGTGGTTGCCTATGAGGAATTCTACTGATTTATTGGTGTGGGAGAGTCCAGCCCACAGTGGGCAGCACCACCCCTAGACAGGTGGGTCTGGGTTGTATAAGAAAGCTGTCTGAGCAAGCCAGGAAGAGATGTCCCCTCTTTGTTCTTGCTTGAATGCCTACAACAGAAGGCAAAGGAGAATACGGCTTTATTGCTGAATTCACTTGTTACTGAAGGACTTAAAAAAAACCATATGCAAGGCCCACAGAAGCGGTTATGCCAATGGTATTGTTCATTCAGTTAAAAGAAAGGTCATATCTTTCTTGCTTTATTCAAAGGGGAGGAAGCTGGCTTCCTTCCAGGTGGGATATCCTGATTGGAAGTTAACTCTGACACTGGGCTCTGCTCTTTCCTTGTGATCGTTTTGATACACGTTCCTTAAAGAGCATGGTGTCTACACGTGCTAGTTTGCACACACAATACACGGGACACATGATCCAGGTTAGTCATCCACTGTGACTTTGGAGTTCCAGGGCAGGGAGAGGAAAGAGTTTGAGAAACTTGGAAGTTCTTTCCTGGTAGTCTTATATCAAAGATCAGCGTCTGTCTCAGGAGCAGCTGTTGCATTAACTATTCATGATAGTAACAGTGAGTAATACATTTTCACAGACTCTTTAATGCCTGCCAAACTTGCACTGAGCGCCATGCGATATGCTTAGGTCAAAGTCCTTGTTAGACCTTTTACAAAGCCTTTCAAATAATGTCTTACATTCTCGAAGCTCTTTACAGTGGATCAAATGTTTCCATACAGATGAGGTCGTGCATGGTGTGTGATCAGACTGGAGGGTCCTTTGACGTTTTTACCTGTGTTTGAATAGTGTCAGCTTTCTTCTGTTTCATTGATTTCTGTTTCTGTTTGTGACAAGGCCTCTCTCGGTAGTCAAGCATGGCCTAGTCTTCACAGTGATTTTCCTGCCTCAGTTCCTTTAGTGTTGTGATACTGTTTAACATTTATTTACGTGTTTATGTGTGAGTTTATTATGCACACAGGTATGAGTGTCCTTGGAAGCTAGGAGATGACATCTGTTCCCCTGGAGATGGAATTATAGATAATAGTAAGCCTGCTGATGCCGTGGGTGTTAGGGACTGAACCCATGTCCTATGAAGAACAGTGTGTGCTCTTAATTACCAAGCTATCTCTCAAGCTCCCGCTTTAGGTTTATAATTTAAATCCTTACATTTTTTTTTTTAAAGAGGCAAACTCAAATCTTGGATCACTTAGGAGATACAATAAAGTAAAAGATATAGTGTTTATGACACATTTTAATAAAGATAAGATATAAATGTCCAAACTCATAGCAAAATACACTTTTACTCACTGCCTGTCTCCTGTCGATCTTGGGTTAGAAAATCCCCAACTGTTTTTCATGCATGACTGGAAGTGTAAGATGTGGTGTCCTGGCTCCAATCCAGTGCAAAGGGGAATTTGAAGAGTGGCTCACATGTTTGTAATTTTCCAGTCTCAGGCACATACTTCCTATCCCGGCCATTTGTGCTCCCTAAGGGTAGCTAGTAGCACAGGACAAGCGTTTCTTGCTGTCCTAAATCCACAAAGCACTTTGGGATGTTCCTTGATGAAAAGTACAAAGGGACAACTAATTTTGTAACCATGTATTGTCACTAGTTCGATCTAGACTTACTAGATTGTGTTAGTACGATTTGCACTATTGGCTTGCTCAAGGAAACACTGAATTGTTGATGCTGTCACTCATTCCACTATGGCTAAACTTAGCAAACTGGAGTAAATAAAATGTCCTGTGTGTGTGTGTGTGTGTGTGTGTGTGTGTGTGTCTGTGTGTCTGTGTGTCTGTGTGTCTGTGTGTGTTGTGTTTGCTTTTGATCCTATTTTGTGAGTGACTGGGTTCTCTTTAAGTGTTACAGAGAGATCTGTCAATTCCCTTGAAGAGATGCTGGTGTTGAGGACTACAGCAGGAAACTTTAGAGAGCGTGAGGTCTTGAGAAAGTCTTTGAACAAAACAATGGTTTGTGGAAACAGTAGGAAACCATCTTGGCTTATGAAAGTGGATGATTCTTGCAGGGTCTAGGGGATAATTGGTTAGAATGAATTAAAAAATTTACTCCATTTGATCCTAAAGGCTAAAAGTAATAGTAGGATCTGAATGTGCAACTCAGTATGTGATTACTTGCTTAGCTCCTGACACCAAAATGAACCAGAGAGTCACAATTTTTGGCATGATGCTGCATGCCAAATGTTTGAGGCAGGAGGATCATGAGTTCCAGGACAGCCTGGGTTTTATAATGAAACTATAGCACAAAGAAACAAATAAAAGCAGCATTTAAAAGTCAGAGTTAAATGCTAAAGAGCTCTCTCTGAAGAAGAGAGACACCTCATGTGGTATGACAGCCCCACACCACACCCCCCTCATGGATGTCTGGTGGGTTGCTCATAGTGAGAGGCCACCTTGCTCAGAACAAAACATTGTAGTGATGCCTGGTCAGAGACACCTCAGAGGAGCTGGGGCATTTATACAAGCAGGATGTCTGTCGTTCTCATTGAAAGAACTCACAAGCAGTCTTGGGACTCCTGATGACTACACAGAATCCCAGTATTTTTTGCCACATCATATTATCCTTGTAGGTGGTCAATACTTCTTGGGCATTTGAGTTTTCTGTTTGTGGTCTCATAATTCACACATGTATTAAAAATTACAGGTAGGACATCTGATAGCTCTCAAAGCTCTTTCATATCTCTATCTCTGGAACTGCTTCATGTTTCAGATTGCTGTGCCATGTCCCTTCTGATGGAGGTGATCTCTCTCTGTAGTCACTTTTCTTTAAGTGGATGCTCAGGGTTTACTGATGTTACCTGTCTGATAATAATGTTGTAGATATTAGTTGTTTGCTGGGACAGAACAGAGATGTTACACTAAGAACATTTGAGGTTGGTTGGCTCATCAGCAAGCTCAAGACTATGAAATACACCAAACAACCTATGCTTACATAAGTAAATGTGAGAAATCAACATTATTCTTGCTATGTAGAGACAAATGGCTCGTCTACTGTACTGAAGGACCTATGTGCTACCAAGAATTTATATTTATTCCATGGAGAGATTGTATCAACATTTTAATAATTTCCCTCTTCATTTGGTAAAATTGAGGTAAAAAACAAATTTCAAGATGTATTTTAGGCTTTATGAGGTCGTTCTGTGATATATACACCCTCATTATTCTCAGTTCCTCGTGAATTAGTAAAACTTCACAATCTATTCCTTATAGCCTAAGTGTGGGTATTTATTTCCAGTTTTTGATCAGAAAAAATCATACAGTATATTTTGGTCATGTGTTCCCCTCTCCCAATTCTTCCCAGATCCTCCCTATCCCCCCCACCCAACTTTATGTTCTTTCTCTCTCTTTAAAAGCAACGTTCAGAAACCAAAAACAAACAAGAAATACCCCACCTCCCCACACAAAACATAAACACAGAAATAAAAATAAATAAGCAAAAGACCAAACAAAGCAAAAAACAAAACAAAACTGGAACAAAGTATAATGAGACAAAAAGGCTACACAAATACCATTGTGTTCATTTTGTGTTGGTCACTTACTGCTGGGCATGGGGCCCACTGAAACTCATGCAGAAAACTAAATTTTTACTTTGCAAGCAGGTATCAGTCACAGATAGCATCTTGGTTAGGGGTGGGAGCCTGTGCCTACTTCCCTCTCTCAGCTCTGAGACACCATTGGGATTGAACCTATGCCAGCCCTATGCATTCAGCCAGTCTCTGTGAGTTCACATGGGCATCAGTCCTCTTGTCTCTTGAAGACACTGTTGCTTTGGAGTCATCCATCACCTCTGGCTCTTACAATCTTTCTGCCTCCTCTTCTGCATAGCTTACTGAGCCTTGAGGGAAGGAGTTTGATGAAGACATCCTACTTAAGACTTAGTACTTTGAATGACTATCTTGCCTTCCTGTTCTGTGAATGAAGCTTGGCTGGTATTGGCTCTAATATGTGCACACCATCCTATTTGCCATTTTAAGGGTCAATTTTAGGGGATTAGAGAAATCTTCAGTGGGTAGGAACCTGAGTTCAGTTCCCAGTGCCCAAAATGGGTGGTTCACAACTGCCTCCAACTCCAGAGGCAGGAGGATCTTTTGCTTATGAACTATGTAGGCAGCTGCACATACCAAACACACACACACACACACACACACACACACACACACACACACACTCATAATTAAAAAATAATAAAAATAAACATTTTCAAAAAGTAAATTTCACTCCAAAAATCATCAAAAGATCAAATTCAACTAAAGGGTAGAAGTGATTTTATAATATTCCTGGCAAATAAAGAACTGACTAGTAGAAATGACCAGGGTCAAAAAAAATAATCTTTATTGACTTATTGATGGGCTGTAAAATGTCATATGCTTGTTTTCTTGTTTAGCAGAAAGGGAAACTTTAAGACCAAGTAAGATTATTAAAGGTAGTATTATTCTAGAATGATCCACATAGGAAAACAAGTTTCATTTAGGGCCTTTTCCCATTATAAAATAGGGTTAGGTGTTTCACAAGAAACAGAAAATACTTGTTTTTGTTGTCATGAGGTTGGTTACGGATTCCTTTTGAAACAGAATAAAGGATTTGGCTCCAGGTATGTGACGGGGAAGAATACGGGAACTGGCTAAAGACTATCTGAAGCTGTTTAAGAGGGTGGAGTTTATCTGGTTTGTCTGGTCTAATTTGGAGTGGGCTTTCAAATTTGACCCTCAGAGAGATAACTTAGACTTTCTTGGAAATTGGTGATGATGTGTGGCGTATCTGCTTATCTGAGAAAGGAGCTATGCATTTAAAGGGTGCTGTGGTGTAAATCCTTCCGGTAGTGTAGCTTAGATTGTACTCTAGCTTCCTGAGTGCTGCTGGAAATCTTAACATCTCGGGGAAACTTGCGTAGATCCCCGTGAGTTAGAGACGCTTGTCTTTGTCCCTGGCAGAGAGGTAAGGGATTTCCAGGTACTCAGGCATAGGAAATAGAACAGTCTTTCTCTTACATGACTGAAGTCCACACTGTGTGAGGGAATCAGCCTTATTCCGAAAGTTTTTGCTTATTTGAGAGTCTGAGAAAGGGGCATGACCACGTGTGATTTACTTTCTACTTACAAAGGGAAGAGGATGCTACTTTGCCACCTCACAGGCAGTCAGTCAGTATTTTAAACTGTGCACATTCCATCTTGGGATGTAAAGACAAACCATCAGAAGTTTCTTAAATAAGAATTATCAAAATAAAAAAAAAAGAAAATTTCTTAGTTACCCCACCCCCACCCCCACCCCTCTCTGGGCAAGACTTTCCATTTCTCTCTACCTAAAATCCCCAAGTCAGATAATTTTCATGTTTGTGTCCTGTCTTCCCAGAAACCTCTGCTAATCTGGAGCTCTGGCCTTGGGCTTGCTCAGACTTGACTCTGTGCCCATTCCTCTTGCCTGTGTTCTGGATCCCCATTACAAGCTAGCACTTTTGGTTTTTTACTGCTTTTGCTTTCGGCCTTTCTAGATTTGCTCATGTCCCTCCAAAAGCTCCATTGCATTCGAAGTGTGCATCCTTGCTGCCTTGTCTTTTAACTTCGATCCCTATCTCCTGTCTTGGCATCATTTTGGTGACCACTATTCTCTCATCTCATGTTTTGGATTATGTCTTCTTTCATGGAATAGCCTACCTTAGTAAGCTGTGAGCTGGAGCAAGCCCTACCTCCTTTAAAAGCATTTTTAGGTTTATTTCATGTTATGTGTATGGGTGTTGTCCCTGCATGCCTGTATGTGTATCATGTGTATGTCTAATGCCTGGTTAGAAAAGGGTGTTGAATCCTCTGGAACTGGAGTTATGATGGTTGTGAGCTGCCATGTGGTGCTGGGAACTGAACTCGGGCCCTTGGCAAGAGCAACCAGTGCCCCTAACCACAGAGCTTCCTCTGCAGCTTCACCCCTGCCCTTCTTTAAGTTGCCTTGTTCCAGTGTTTTATCACAGCAACACGAGATAGACTCCTTTTCACCTGGAGGTCTGCTCATAGGACAGTGAAGGAAATAATGAGAAAAAAGGGAGGGAAAGACAGAAATAGAGAGACAGAGAAAGTGGAAGGGAGAGAGTGATGGGCCTGGGAGGGTGAGACGAGATCTAACTCAGTGTATAAGTCCTTTAAGTTACTTGACATCAGGTTCCCAACTTGTAAAATATGATAAATGCTAACTTAACTGCTTGATCTGTGTCCTTGGATGGTTGTGTGTCCAAGTTAGGATGTTGCTAAAAGCACAATGTAAGTGCTATTTGAATAAAAAAAGATAACCATTATACTCTTTATCAAAACCCACATATGATGGGTACGGTGGATTTTCATTTTTTTTTCACCTTTGCTTCCTATAAAATAGGAAATCACCAAATGAAGACTCTTGTATCTTTAGAACACTGGTCTCTGTGAATCACAGACTTGTCTGCACTAATGTGACAATCGAAAACAAAGAGAAAGAAATCCTGGCTACACCAACACATCCATTTCTATTTTAAACTCAAAGCCAATCACCCAAAACCTCAAAAACCCAAATCAAATTTAGGCCCTTCCGATCTCATGCCCAAGCCCAAGCCGTGGGCTTTCCTAGAGGTGGCCTGCTGGGAAAGTGTCTGGGCTGCTCGCCCAGGCTCCTGCCAGTGGCTTTTTCCTCTCCCGCCCCGCGCCTTCCCCACCAGCACACCTGTTTGCAGAGATCCTTCCTCTGCCTGGGCTTCTTGACTCTGGTCATGGCCACCTGTTAAGGATGACGCAGATCCCGCCCTACGCACATCCTTGCCTTGTTGCTGTCTTCAGGATCCCCAACTGGGCTGATTCACCTCACAGGTGGTTATTTTTAGCCTTTATCTCTTAGGGGTTCTGTTTTCTTTCCGCCACCTTTTGACCTGGTAGCTGGAAATAAAGTTTGCCTTCCATAAAGACGAGAAAGTTGTCAGCCATTTCCTTCCTGCCTGCATGAAAGGACCGGCCAGCAGAGGGTGGGAAGTGGCTGAAAGCCTCTATCCCTTAGTTCTGAAAACACATGCCTCTCAGCAGTGACTCTTCAGTCATCTGTGTGCATTGCCCAGAGCCATTGCCTGGAGCAGGCAGCTGGCTTTTCAAAGGGTCTTGAGGACGTTCAGGGAACGAATAAGATTTTTTTTCATCTTCTTTTGATCATGATTACTAAACTCAAAGGTCTGAGTAGTTGGACTTCTGATTTTTTTTTTCTTTTTTTGAAATAATTTTAAAATGAATGTCTGGTTGATTTAAGGTCCACTCCATGAGATGGAACACATCCTTGGGTGGCCAAGAACCTGAGACTAAACAGGCCAGGGACCTAGGGGAAAAGCAAGTACTACTGTTCTGTTAAAGGCTCAGCCATCATCAGAGACGCCTCCTCCAGAAGCAGATGGGAACAAATACAGAGTCCCACAGTTGAACTATGTGGGGAGAGAGAGAGAGAGAGAGAGGAGGAAGAGAGAGAGAGAGAGAGAGAGAGAGAGAGAGAGAAAGAGAACGAGACCAGAACACTCAGTTCTGAGTGGGATGTCTCCATTAAATCCCTCCCTTTGGGGCTCAGGGAACCCTGTGGAAGGGGAGGCAGAAAGATGATCAGAAACAGAGGGGATGGAGGAATCAAAGAAACAAGGTCTTCTGAGGACAGCAGGACTGACACACATGAACTCACAGAGACTGTGGCAGCATGCACAGGGCTGTGCAGGTGGGGTTCCAGAGCTGAAAAAAGGGGACACACTCCCCATCCCTAACCCAGAAGCTCTCTGCAACTGACAACCACTTGCAAATGAAAACTTAGTTTTTTCCAGTGGAGTCTCACTAGGTATAAAAACCACTCTTATGGCCAAGACTTAGTGCCCAGTAGTAAATGGTCAAGACCCTTGCCCAGCAGAGAATGGCCAACACAAAACGAACTCCATGGCATTTTTGGATGTTCTTTGTCTCATAATGCTTTGTTAGGACATTTTCCACTTACAGAACCTTTGTGTATATATTATGGTTTTTGGTTTTGTGTTCTCTCTCTCTGTCTGTCTCTCTCTCTCTCTCTCTCTCTCTCTCTGTGTGTGTGTGTGTGAATGTGTGGGTCTCTGAGTCTATACATGTTTCTCATGCTTCTTCTTTGGCTCTTCTGTTTGCTTGTTTTATTCTATTTTCTGGTTTCTTTGTCTTTGTCTTATTTTGTTATTATTCTTTGATGGCTGCTTTTTTTTCTAATGAGAAAGAGAAAGAAAAGGCGGGGATTGGGATGGATGGAGAGGTGGAGAGCATCTGGGAAGAGTTGGGGGACAGGAAACTATAATCAGAATATATTGTATTAGAAAAATCCATTTTTAATAAAATAAAAATAGAAAAAAGAGTTCTCAGGTGGGACTTAGGCTAGTTTCATGGTGGAGTGTTTGTCTAGAATGTGTGAGGCCCTAGGCCATCTCCAATACTACCAACCAACCAACCAGCCAGCCAATCACCTAACCAACCAATCAATTAGTTAATCAATCAATCAATCAATCAATCAATCAATCAATCAAACAGTATTCATAGAAAAATAGTCATTTTTGCTTTTTCACATGAAATCATAAAAATGCAGCTTATCAGGCAAGACATTTAGTTTCTGTTATGGGAAAGCATTTGGAAAATTGGAAAAGTCTAGGTATATTAAAGGCTTGAAAAATGTAGCTTGATTTTCCCTCTTTCTGGAAAATTGAGTAGACTAGGAAACTATAAACAAAGATGTGAATAATATACAGAGGCTTGGCATTTTCTTCACCATCAGAATTTGGTCATAAATCACCCAGTTGCTTACTGGGTAATTTTAGAGTGTTATCAATGTTGCTGCTACTAATTTTCTTTAAAAATAGACTTAACAAACCGTAGTCAGAGAAGGTCCAGTGTGTGTGTGTGTGTGTGTGTGTGTGCATGTGTGTGTGTGTATGTATGGTGTCCAGGTGTGTTTGTGTGTGTGTGTATGTATGGTGTCCAGGTGTGTTTGTGTGTGTGTGTGTGTGTGTGTGTGTGTGTGTGTGTGTGTGTGTATGTGTGTGTGTGTATGTATGGTGTCCAGGGAGGCCAGAAGAGGGAACCAGATTCCCTGAAATTAGCAGTATATGCATTTATAAGCTGTCTGACATGGGTGCTGAGAACTGAACTCAGGTCCTCTGCAAGAGCAGCACATACTCTTAACCCCCGTGCTGTCTCTCCAGTATCCATGGCATGTTTTTTTTCTACACCATTTTCTCAGTGAAACTTTTTATTATATATCTTTCAGATTATATCCTAAATGTCAAGTTGCTGGCCCAGGATAGACACATCAAATATTTTTTATTAAAATAGAGTCTATAAGTGAAATTTGTGTAATTTGTAGTGTGTAACATGATGCTTTCGATAATTGTGAAGTTATCAAGTCAGACTAATGTATTGGTCACTTCATATACTTATGACTTTTGTTATGACATTGACAGTCATAGGAATTTTCCAGTATACAGTGTATGAACAATAGTGACCCATCTTCAGAAAGACAAGCAGTTTGTAATGTCTCCACAAAGGTAACAGCTTCCATTTCTCAAACCCTTGCAACTAGAGTTTGTTTTTACTAATATTTGCTCTACCATTGTCATTGTATAATGTGTGCATCCTCCAATATATTTCTCAACTATTCACACCAAGCTTTAATGAAGTGCTTGTTTTTCATTTTAGTTTTTTCCTATATGGTATCTTCAACTAATTTTTTTCCTATTACTATTATTTATTTATTTACTTATTGCTCTTGTATCTATACATATCTTTCTAGATTGTCTTTCAGACTCATGACATCAGTTTTGTTTGTTGGTTTTTGTTTTTGCCAGATATATTTTTTTCTTATTTTTTCAGGAGCCAGCCCTTTTGGTTTTTTCCATTGTGGTCTCTGCTTTTTTTTTTTTTTTTTTTTTTTTTTTTTTTTTTTTTTTTTTTTTTTTTGGTTCTCATTGGGCATCTCTTCTGGCAGCCTGCTTTGGGCAGGCTTTGGAGCTAGCAGGACAGACACCAAGAAGCCAGGCCGCCTGTCAATTCTGTTAGTGGGATGGCAGAACTCATCTCACAGTACAGCTTGGGGTTGGAGGAGTTTGGGTTACCAAGGCTCAGCAGTGGGTCCATCTGGGTGGAGAGAAAGGTGCTTATTTCCCTTTCTCATCTTCAAAATGAACTCAATCCCAAGTTGATGCAGATCCTTGAAACAAGAAGATCAGGGCTGGTCCTGTCCTGTTTCCTATTTGTAAACTCTCCCCAGAGTAGGTCTACAGGAGACTAAATGGGCGCTGTCACCCTGTCCATCTGTTCTTTGCTTTGGATGTTTTTTTTTTTTTTTTTTTTTTTTTAAAGAAAGAAGTAACTTATGCTCCTATGTATTCATTACATTATTCATTATGGAAAAAATAATTGGTTTTATGGCAAGATGAACATTTCTTCAAGGGGTAGAGCTAAAAACACTGGGGTGCTGAGATTCCTGGAAGATGGGGGTTTTCCTTGGGACTGCTTTAAATGAAAACCTTTTAAGAGGTTTTTGTCATTTCTACACTTAGCTAATGAAGGAAAGATTCAGTCAGTATTAAAAAGCATCAATAACAATTGTGCCACATTTCATTAGCATGGTCAAATCTCGAACTGCTTGTTGGGGATCTGGGGACACAGGCAAAGACAGGCCATCAGGAACATTTTGTTGCCGCACCATCCAGCATCTTCCTTCATGTGTTCCTGCTCTTCGGTAAGTATTGATGTTTTACCGTCATCTCTTTACAAAGAAGGTGAGTTTCCAAGGGAGCCTATTCTCAGTAAATTCTGACTCATTCTTCAATGGTGTCTGCATTCACAAACTAACAGCAAGCATACAGTCACTGAACCAGGTTATCTATGGAAGAGATGTTCATCCTTGCTTTCCTCATCAGAAAACCCAAAATCTACCTGGTTATCTTAGTCTGAATTATACAGAAATGATAATTGAATCACATCAAGTCATTTTGACATGACGAGATGACGACAGAGACACAGTCTCTATTTTAAGAGTCCATTCTTTGTGGTAAAATCTGACAAGCTAACCTACAAACATTAAGCTTTGTTTTTTTTTGTTTTTTGTTTTTTGTTTTTTTGGTTTTTCGAGACAGGGTTTCTCTGTGGCTTTAGAGGCTGTCCTGGAACTAGCTCTTGTAGACCAGGATGGTCTCGAACTCACAGAGATCCCCTGAACATTAAGCTTTGTAAAACAACTCTATTTCCAATTTTTTCATAATCTCTTATTTATTATGTAATGCAATTAGATTTCATAAACTTTGGAATTCATTTGTTGGGGGATTTTAGTGTTTGTCTGAGTTCAACAACCCTCTTATCCAAGACTTTCAAACAAGCAAGAGAAAATGAGCACATTTTCATGAGCCATTTTGCAGATTTGGGATGCAGGATATAATTTAAAATAGCATTTTGATTTAATTTATTTTGGAGTTCTGATAATGCTCTTCATGACCTCTGCATGTAGGAGCAGCCAGGGCCAAGAAGCTGTTTTTTTTCCGGCTTGCAGACGTCAGATTGCTTCCTTTCACACCTTGGAATGTCAGAAATTTATTAACTTCTTTCTTGAGGAGATGTTTTTCTCTTGGAGCATGTTGATTTCGAGAGGGGTGTTCTGTTTACCTGTTGTTGAGTACTTTTCCAAACTCACTCACAATTAAAAATAAGAAGCGGAGCTGGCCATTGTGGTCTGTAGACTTTGCAGCTGGCTGGAACTATTGATTGCTCTCTCCCTCAGAGCTGGCATAGCACCTTAGGATGCTGGGAGAGCCAGCCCTCAGGGAGGAAGCTTCGAGGTCAGTTCCAATTTGATTCCTCCAAGTCCTGTGTCTGAAGTGTGTGTTATTAAGCAATGGGGTCTTAATGTCAAGTTCTGGGAGGCAACCAAGGGCAAAGGCAATAACCTGTATTGTTTGAGGAATCTCTTGGACGACCCTGATCAACAACTTAAAGGGAGGCTTCTCATGCCTTCCGATACTGGGGTCTGTGTTAGGTAGTCTTTATGACACTCGAAAGGGCATTGTCACTTCAAGTGGTACAGTTTTACACACACACACACACACACACACACACAGACACACACACATGCATGCACACACACACCTATATGTTTTAAGTAAACATAAAATACCAGTTCTCTATGATCTTTTCAAATATTCTTAGTGTTATTTATTCCTCATCACTTCCTCTATATTACCCTATCTCCCCACCTTATAGTTGAAGTTTCCTACCTATTTCTCCCTTCAAAACTCCTGTGTCCTGCTACGCCCCCTCTTAAGCTTCTCTTCTGTCATGGTCCTTTTTGACTTTCCTTATTTCTGCAGTTACTCTAGGTTATATACTTACATCGAAAGCCAGCTTGATAAGACATCACCAGTGGCTCAGTAGTGGTACTTATGTCATGGGGTAACCAGTAGCTATCTCATTGGACTTAAGGCTCACTCAAGAGCTAATAATTTATGTCGGGATATGAAAACATAGCTAACTACTCATGGGTATTAAGGTCATGGATACTAAAGGAAAATCTATGGTTACCACTTTCTTAAACTAATATAATTTTTTACTGCATCTCTCACCCGTCATCAAATACTCTTTTTGTAGCAGATGGACACTATCAAAGAAATCCACAACTGGCCAAATGCAGAGAACAACAGACCGTCGGGTGCATAATCTCAACTGAAATACCTGCAACACAACCCTGATAACTGGGGCTCAGGGAAATGGGACTATTTTGAGAGTCAAAGGACCAGGACACCTGATGTGACATGGGGTCTTCTATATATGGCACGGAAGCTACACCATGAAATCCAAACAATACGTCTGCCTAACAAGACTAACATAGTGACAACACCAGTTGGCATCACAGCTTGGATGGGAGAACTATCACAAGGCTCCACCCCTAGAAGAAGAGCTATGGGCAATCAGTGGCTGCTGAGACAGGGTCTTTAATAAGTTATGCCATCTCGAGTTGTCATCCCTAAATGCAAATGCATACAAACAACACTAAATGGACTCAGCAAGATGTAGATATACATATGTGTGCATATATACTTGAAGTATATATATGTATTCACTTGATATATATATACATTTATTTATATTAAAGTTATATTGTATATAAACACATAGAAAAAGTATGTATTACTTGAAAAAGAATTTGACTAGAAATATTGAAACAGGAGGAGTTGGAGAAGGGAGAGGATAGGGTAGAAATAATGTAAATACAGTATTCAAATATGAAAATGCCAAAAAAACTTCAAAATAAAAGAAAGAATAAACAAATGCCCTTACCCCTTCAATCCCTCCAATTAAACAAAAACAATATCCATCATTTCTGCCACAAAAAATTTGTGAAGCTTTTTTTAAAGACTAGAGATTTAATGGCAAAATTAACTGAGATATTAATAGGATCTGCATAGGTCTAGAATAGGCAAGTAGATGCCCTAATTAGCTGATTCATCATGTGTCATGCTGAAGCCTGGGTGCATATTCAATTTCACTCCCTTTTAATAGTAGCTTTGATGGAATATTGCATAGTTTTTACTAAACAAAAGCTATCTATGTTATCTATCATAGCTATCTATCATCTATCTATCTATCTATCTATCTATCTATCTATCTATATCACCTAGCTATCATATCTATTTATCTTCTATCTATCTCTATCATATAGCTATCATATCTATCATCTATGTATCTCTCTACCATCTAGGTATCATATCTATCTGTCTGTCTATGTATCTATGTATCTATGTATCTATGTATCTATGTATCTATCTATCTACCTACCTACCTACCTACCTGGTAAAGGTTTGATTTCAATATTTGGCAGTTCTTTGTGTTTATTCTCACAGATATTGAAAGGCCTAGTCTGCCCCAAGGCCATGAGTGAAAGGAAGAAATTATAGATGCAATTTGCCTGCAGATTTAGGCATTTTTGCATACAGTTCATAGTGGGGAACATATATAAAAATAAAATTTTGCTTCTAGGGCATTATTTAAAGTTTTTGCCTGTGAAAAAGTCGAAATAAGTTTTACATAAGTTGGTCTGTGCAAGGTAGATAGCCCAGAGGCGATCGTCTCATTTTCTCCCTCAGCTGTCATTTTTGTCTTGTTACTTCAGCCACTCCCACTTCTCACACTTCTTGTGTCCCAGGTAAATGGGTTTTTTTCCACAATTCGTTTCCTCAGCTTTGTAAAGTGTGATTTTCTTGGGTGCCATACCTTCAGTAAACACCGAATAAACCAATTGTCAGATGAACAACAACGCTGCTAATCAAACTGTCCCTGAGAACATTCTGCATGTCTGGCAGTAGTGCCAATAGTGGGTATTCACCAAGAAAAGACCACAACTCATGGATATTTGTGTAATTTTGTCAGGCTTGAAGAAAAGAAAACAGTAATATCCTTCAGTTATATTAGAATTTTGCAAGCATTTATTTGTCTTCTCTTTCTCTGAAATCTTGGGAAGTCGCAAATACAGGTTTTGTCCCCAAATGTTTTTGTACATGTTTTCTAAAAAAAATTACAGTGCAGTTAACAAATTTGGTAATTAACATTCATTTATTAGTAGTATTTAGTCCATCGGCTGGCAAATATACCTGGCTTACCATCTGGGCTTGTAAATAAAGATTTATTGAAGCACAGCATGCTGTGTTTATGACTATTTGTCAAAGACTGCTTCTTGCTTGTTTGTAAGTAAAGTTTTATTAGTACACAGCCATGTGCATTTGTTTACAGGTTGTCTATGACAGTCTTAGGATAGCAGAATTAAATAGTCTTGACAAACACTTTTTGGTTTGCAGAACTGGAAAGATTTACTATCTGATCTAGAGGAAATGTTTTCAGCCTCTGATCTATTCAATAGGTCTTACAAAATTTCGTTATTTTTCCCAATAATATCATCTATTGCAAAAGAGGAAAATAAATTCTAGCTTGGCATCCTACTTGTATCACGTATTATACTTGTTTGATATGTCTCTTTATTATACTATAAAATAATTCTTCAGCTATTTTTATTGCTCATTACCTTGACACTCTGGATATACACAGATAATTTATTTTATACATTATATATCACTTCAAGCTGTATAATGCTTGTATTTACACATGCATTTTAGGCATATGGTGTATACATCCTACCAAGAGGCATAGCTCTTTGTTTCATTATCAGTTTTGTTAGTTTTCATCTGTTTGCTTAGGGTGGCATATCATTTTTTTCTCTCTCTGTAAATTGCCATGTTTCCCCTTTCCTAAATAAGTATCATGCAGGAAAATTGCTTTGAGTTTGTGTGAGTATTCTTTTGTTTCTCATCAAATTTCTTCAGTGGTTTTAGCATCCATTGTAATCCACTTTTATAAGTATTATTGTGGTTGGTGCCAAAGTGAATTTTAAGACTCATTTATCAGTTACAATTCTTTGTGTGTGTGTATGTGTGTGTGTGTGTATGTGTGTGTATGTGTGTGTATCTGTATATGTCTCTCTGTATGTGTGTCTTTGTATGTACGTAAACATGTTCATGTATGTGTTTTTATATGTGTAGAGGCCAGAGATCAGTCTGCTGTCCTGTCCTTCTCCATCACACCCCACTTAATATTTTGAGACAGGGCCTCTCACTGAACCTGGAGCTTCTGATTTAGCTGGACCAGTTCGCCAGCAAATCCCCAAGACCCTCCCAAGTGCACTTCCACAGAGTTGGGATTGCCGGTATGTAAGGCTGTGCTGACTTTTTGGTGTGGAATCTGTCAGATTAAGCTCTGATCTTCATGATTGTCTGGTAAGCCCTTTATTTCCTTGCCATCTCCCTACTATTAGTTACAATTTTTTAAATGAAGATCTCTCTCTCTTTCTCTCTCTCTCTTTCTCTCTCCCATCTCATGGATTTAAAATTTTAACTTTGTGATTTATACATTGCAATGTTGATGTCTCAAAACCTTCAGGATAACTTTTGTGTGTGTGTGTGTGTGTGTGTGTGTGTGTGTGTGTGTTTAGGGTTTGTGTGGCTTGTGTGTATGTGTACATATTTGTGTGTGTGTAACTTTCAACTTTAGCAATGCAATGAATTCTTAGGACTGACTTGAAATTCTGGGGACAGGCTGTTTCTTTAATATTTCTGTATAGCTTTTTAACATCAAGCCTGTAGATTTTAGGCACTCATTTTTTTAAAAAAAATGCACCCTAAGTCAAAATAATAAATCTGTAAATGTGGAACAGTGGGGCTTACTTGTCTTTTAATAAATTAAAATTTTCTCAACTACTTTTGAGATTCCGAAAAGTCTTTATTTAAAGTACCATTCTCCTTAGTCGTATTTCAGTTCCAGCTTAGCAGGAAGGGGTCCAAATTCCCTTTTAATCTAGAAATTTCTTATTTTTTCCTAGTACTAAAAAGTAAGTAATAATCCTTAGGGATTTCGGAAATATTTTAATGTGAGTCCAGGAAATCCAATTCAGTTTAAAATCAATTCTTTGTGTTTTCTGAAAGTCTATTTTCTGAAATCTATAAAAACTACTCCCAAAAATAATTCTAGGAAATTGAATCTCTTCATTGAGCATTCTTCTACCTGGTTTTCCCCTCTAGTTGGTCAAAAAGGGAAGAAATACCGTTCACACTTTGCTCTGGCGATGACTGAGATTCGCCCTTACAGTCTGTGAACTTTCTGGGGTGGAATGAGTCTGCTTGGGAACTTCAGAGCTCTTGCTGCAGAAAACCTGTCACCGGAAGGAAGTCATGAGTAGCAAAGAGGAAGTAGCTCAGCCTGGTTTAGAGGAAGTGTAACTGGTGATATTTTCCCAATTCCTAAGTCAAGTCTTTGCTTTACCGTCAATAACTAAAACCCTGAGGATACAACCTTGGTAATGCAATTCATTTCCTTAGGACTTGGCCTCTGAGGCAGGCTGCTTTTTTTTTTTTTTTCTTTTTGTTGTTGTGGTTGTTGTTGGTAGCAAGCATCAAAGTATGTGACAGGAATTCAGCAAGACTTCCAGCTTACCTCTACTCTTACTGCCTTGAGCCCTGCCCACGGGCTGACCTCCCCAGTGTGGGAGTGAACTGGGCAGAGATGGATCTTCTTCTAGGCTGTGTGTCATGGCAGAGCTGAGCTGGGGGTGGAGGTGCATAATGAAGCCATCTCATGTTCTGATTACCTAATCAGTTGTCATTGAATCTTGGAGCAAAATTGGTCCCCTGTGCCTGTTTGGGCATCGTGTAATTATTGGAGGAGTTGACAATATTTTCTTTTGGACTATGAATCAAAAGTAATTTACTCTGGGTATTTAAGTGTGTTGTTTTGGGGAGCAGCCTGACCAACAGATACACACAAAGCAATTTTGAAGTCACTTTATGAACTGTCATTGTTTACTGCTTTCAGAGTCACTTTAATTGGTTTCTGCAATCTGTGACTGGGAATTCCTTTTCCCGTCTCAGGTGCCCAGTTCATGCTATTTTTTCCTTCCCATTTCTCTTTCAGCAACAGCTCCGTTTTTATCCTGTGTCTCATGGCCCATCACTCAAATGGCCTTACCAACCAGGATCAGTCTTGGTACGCATGGAAACTGTGGCCTTGTGGAAGATAACCTTTGACAGGCTCTCTCCAGTTCTCCAGCCTCCAGTTTCACATGGAGACTGCAGGAAGCTGCTTCCCGCAGACTGAGCCTTGATAACACAAGGAGAACCACCTGGTAGCAGCGGCAGCACTTCATCCAGGATGAAAACAGGATCTAAAATATAAACAACATCCTCCCTCCAGAAGCCGGTGCTCAGTTCCCTCCCAAGTGTGTTTGACTCTGCTTTCCCAAGAGTCTCATGAGAACCTTTACTGAGGCAGGAAGGTAGGTCAAGACTAGAAGCAGGGTTTCAAGATTTCCGGTGGAAATCATCAAAATGTTTTCTTTCTTTTTTTTTTATTGTTATTGTTGTTGGTGATCTTTTAAGTTCAGGAGTATGACCAATAACCATAGTTACAGCACTGAACTTGTTTTTAGATGAATAAAAAGTTATATACCTCAAGTTTGACACCATGCCAAAGGAAATTATGCAAATGGATCAGAGCAAAAAAGAAGAAAGGTTTCTGATGATGTCGTCTTTCCCAGAGCATCTCTTCCGAAATGGATGCTGTTTTGTAACAACAAAACATGGCATTTATTGTGTTCATTGTTGTTGGCAACCTAGCCAGTGTGTTTCTGCTCATCCCATAAAGTGGAACCTTATTTAGAGAGAGGTGAGTGCTCTCTCAGCATCTCCAGTCAGTATGTAATGCACACATGACTAGACTCCAACCAGGGTTACTGAGAGCTGTGGCAGCAGTGCTTACTCAGACACTCAGCCGATCCCTACTGTTCTTACTGTAAAAAGTATGTTTATTATTAATTTGCACAAATTTGTCTGTGTGTCTTCCCTCGGAGTCCAGAAGAGGTTGTTGGATCCCTTGGAGCTGGAGTTATTGTGTGCCACCTGTTGTGGGTGCTGGGATCTGAACTTGTGTTCTGTGGAAGAGAGGCAAGTGCATCTTAACCACCCAACCCCCCCTTTTTAACTCCCCAGTCTTGATTTAGATAGATATTATATTATGTCCATTATCTTCTTTCATGATCTTATGATTGGGAAATGAAAAGTCATGATCCATATGTTAATTTTATATATTAAGACTATCAATGTCTCTTCAGTTGAA